GCGGAGGTTCCGGCGTGCGAAGACCTGCGTGGGTTCTGCGTGGCATCCCACTGGCGCTGGACGCCGACCTGGTCCAGCCCTGCCGGGCCCCAAGTTTAAGTTTCTTACGTCAACATCTCTTCCGTGTAAACAGTCAAACCCACGGCAGCAACATCTCTCAGTATAGAAGGCGCCAAGATGCCTATCGTTCTGAAGCTTTTCAACTTTAATTTGTAAATTATGATTTCACATTTTACCTTTTCTGACAGTTTTTCTTTTCTTTTCTTTCTTTCTTTTTTTTTTTTAGACAGTCTCACCATGTCGTCCTCATAGCAACCTCAAACTCTTGGGCTGAAGCAATTCTTTTGACTCAGCCTTCCAAGGAGCTGAGACTACAGGTGCCCACCACAACACCCAGCTATTTTTCTTTTGTTGTAGTTGTCATTGTTGTGTAGCAGGCTCGAGCTAGGTTCGGACCGCCAGCCCCGGTGCACGTGGCCGGCACCACCGAGCCTTGTGCCAGTTTTTGTTATTCCAGGAGTAATTAGCTGTGCCAATCACAACTCAACTTTTCTTCAGTAGTTTTCTGCTATCCTGGAAAGAAGCACTCCTCACTTGAGTGAGGCCTGGAATTCAAATGTCACAAGCTATCAACTTTGAATTTAAGGCTAGACTACTAGATAAACCTCGATATACATAGGAACGTTTAAGCTTAGTGTGAATGAATTTGGGCCATTTCTGGGCTGCATATTGAAGGCCATTAGCGTTAGGTGTGGGACCAGATGTCAAGTCCCATGTTCCCAGGTTCTTGGTTCCCAGTACCAAAGACTGGGACCGATTGGTACCGAGTCAGCCGTCGTAAATGAGGATATCAAGCAAGTGCAAGCAGGCAGAGTGCCAAAATTAAACAAGCGCTACTCCCGGCTGACTCAACAAAAGCGGTGATGGCTTCAGGTAGTTGCCAAAATAATCGAAGAGAACAAGAGCAAGTAAAGTTTTAGCAAGAAAGGAAAAGTTAATTTTAAGGGTTTGCACAGCAAACCGTCAGGTCCTAGCGACTGTAGGCATCATGGAGAGCGCAGTGCTGGACTTTATTTATACATTACTTTTGAGGGGTGTCAGCTGCTTTTTGGAGTTTTTCCATGGTCTTGATCAACTCTGTTCCCATAATAATTTGCATGTATATGTCCACATCAAAAAGTCCCAGGGACATTAATCAGTTCTCCCCAAACCACCCACCTGCAAGATCTCACCTGTAAGACTCCATATTAGCAATTAGCCCTATTTCCACAATAGCCTGACCACATCCACCATCCACCCTGCTCATGTCTAGCTAACTGCCTAACCTAACATTAGGAAGACACAGCAAAGCTTCTGGGTTCTTACCAGCACACCAGATCTAGGATAAGATTTTACTTTCTCCAGGGTCTCTGACCATGAAGAGAGGGTGATGACCTAGATTGGAAGTACAAGAAGTGAGTAACAGTCCCTTTTTGGCACTCTATTCCTCCATGAGGTGGCAAAATGCAAACCTGCTGTCAGTAAAAGGGAACCCACTGGCGCCACACTGTCAAGCAGACACACACAGCACCCTCTGGAGCATCACTGCATGAGGAGGAGCTGTGATGAAGGCAAAGCCCCAATCTATGGACCCACCTTCTACCCAAGTTCCCTGGCCCCTCCTAAGTCCCAAGTTCCCCCCTCATTCTGAGAATAAGGAATTCTCAATAATAGTTCCCAGGTTAATTTTCCTTCCAGCTCCAGTATACAAGGACTGGGGCTGTATTCAATTCAATTCAATGAACTATGACTGAATCAGCTAAGTGCTAAGGCTACAAATAATGAGCACAACTAGAGACCGTGCCTTTGTGAGGCACACAGATATTAATCAAATAATCACAAGAACACATGTTAAATTGCCTATGGAGTAGAAACTAAAAACAAGTATTTGATGCTATGAGAGAGACCCCAAAATAGAGGAATCTCATCTAGTGTGTGGGCTGAGGGGAGAGGAAGCCCTCTCTGAGGAAGAGAACCTTAAATGGAGATCTGAGTCATGACACTGTTCTGGTGGGAGCAAGTATAACAAAGCAGCACCACTGAAAGATGGCCAGTGTGATTAAAGAGCCAGAACAAGGGGTGGGGGACAGCCTGTGCTATCTTCCTGGTACGCTAGAGCTAGGAATTAAAATTCTTACCAGTTACTTACAGATTCATTGAGGTGGTTGCCTCTGGCTGATGGGCCTATGGGAATTTTTACGTTTTTCTGTATTCTGAAAATTTGTGTGTTGAGTATATATTATTTTTATTACCAAGGGGTGAGGGAATCAATAAGTTAGGAAAAATAAAGAAATGTAAGATAACGACCAAAAATGTTATTAAGCAAATAACTATGTGACAAACCAAGTCTTTATACCTAAGAGCACATGAGGGTATTTTCAACAAAGACTTAAAAGGAGAAGAAAGTTAAGGTGTAAAAAATTTTATAACTGGGCAGACTAAATATAATTACTTTCAAATTAAACTATGATTGGGTGACATTTTATTTGCTTGCCTGGTTGCATGCAAGGTGAACAAAACCCACACCAGTAGACAAAAAGTGGGTGAAGCCGCAAAGTAGCATGTTTCTTTTTCTTTTGTTCGCTTTAAAACACTCATTTAAAATTGCACAGTAATGAGGAAGCTTGACTTGGACAATCAACTGTTTACAGAGGAAGCACCAAGTACTGCAGTTCAGGAAGCACTGCAGAAGGAGGCCAAATGAGCAAGATCTCTGAGCTGCTGTTGGACTTTCTGGGCTTAGTGAACCCTGGACTACAAGTTAACGAAGGGAACCTCATATTCAGTGTTACTTCGTGATCTGCTGGCGGTTCTCATAGCAACCCAAGAAAACTGACTTCTATATAAAAGTACTATCAAGAGGTGTTTTTTTTCCTACTTTGCACATGGACTAAGGATATTTTCTTTAAATCTCAAATTTCAGAATAATTAGCTTGATTAGATTAGGCTTATGGGAAAGACTTTCGAATTTCTAAGTCTTACTGGCCAAGAAGAGAAATTTCCTGTAATTTTAATGTGTTAATTAACAAGTAAAATATATTTGCATGCATTTTAATAAAAATATAAGGTTGAGACCCAGAAATCACATATTATTTCTCTATCTGTGCTCTGCTGGCTTGATTTACCTATTTATGGTAAATTCTGATTTGAATGTTAACAAATATATTTTTGAAATGTGTTGAATGTAAAAACAAAAGAAACCAACTGAATCAGGAACAATTTCCTACTCAGTATACTTCCAAAATATAAAATAACCTTTTTATTGTTGTTGTTGTTGAGACAAAGTCTCAAGCTGTCGCCCTGGGTAGAGTGCCATGGCATCATCACAGCTCACAACCACCTTCAACTCTTGGGCTCAAGCAATCCTCTTGCCTCAGTTTTTCTGTTTTTAGTAGAGACGGGGTCTTACTTTTACTCAGGCTGGTCTCAAACTCATGAGCTCCAGCAATCCACCCACCTTGGCCTCCCAGAGTGCTAGGATTACAGGCATGAGCCACAAAATAGCCTTCTTTTTCTGAAAGTAAAAATACTATTTAATGTTTTTTAAAAGTTGCATAAATTAATTTTTTGGTGAATAAATTGAAAGCAATATGATTTTTAAAACTCATAAAATGACACAGCTACTTATTGGCAGAACTAACCCTTGAGCCAGACCTCCTGCCTTGCAGATCTGGTTCTCTTTCCATCAATCAAAGATAATTGGCTATTACCCAAATCCAGAAAGCAAGCAATCTGACTCAACTTGCTCATTCAGCCACAAAGACACACAAAAATTTGGGATCATTAGAAGGAGTATTGTAACGGAAACTGAAAACAGCCACTTCTGAATACTGCCTGTAGTTTCGTGTCCGTACCTGAGAAGACATATGGGAAAACCGGAAAAGGGCCACAGGGGAAGTGACATATATTAATTTTTTAATGTTTTAAAATCATGTTAAAAATTAAAGATAAAAGTTAAAAACATACATGTTGATTATAAAAATAATCAAGACACACATAAAAGATACAAAAATATTTAAAATTGGGTGGTGCCCGAGGGTAGGGTGCCGGTCACATACACAAGGCTGCAGGCTCGCACCCAGCTGGGGTGCAACAACAACACAATAGCCGGGCATTGTGGCGGGTGCCTCTAATTCCAGCTACTTGATTGTCTGAGGCAAGAGAATCTCTTCAGCCCAGGAGTTTGAGGTTGCTGTGAGCTGTGATGCCACGACACTCTGCCAAGGGAGACATACTGAGACTCTGTCTCAAAAAATAAATATTTTTTAAAAATTAAAAAATTAAAATCAAAGGCATATACAAATTGCATAGTGTATTTACTGTATATAATGTTTATTTCTAATTTATTTGATCAGAATTATATAACATTACATTTTAAGATCTGCTTTTCATTTTTTTTTTCTTTTTTAGATATGTTTTTCTTTATTCACCTAATAAGCATCTTTCCATGTCAATGGGCCTACATTAGTATAATGGCTATATAAATAGTATTACATTTATGGACCTAACACCAAATTTGGAAATGTCCAATGTCCAATGACATAAATGTAAGTCATTTCCTAAATTTCCATAATATTTGAAAGGCTATGATGAAAGTCTACATTGCTATATGAATATATATTTGCAAAATTATTTATTCCTTAAAATGAATCTCAAGAATCTTCAAAGTTACAGTTTATACATTTATTTATTTATTTTTGAAACAGAGTCTCAAGCTATTGCCCTGGGTAGAGTGCCATGGCATTGTAGCTCACAGCAACCTCCAACTCTTGGGCTCAAACAATCCTCTTGCCTCAGTTTTCCTATTTTTTAGTAATGAAAGCGGAGAGGATGTCTCATTTTTGCTCAGGCTGGTCTCGAACTCCTGAGCTCAAGCTATCCTCCTGCCTCAGCCTCCCAGAGTGCTAGGATTATAGGCATGAGCCACCGTGCCTAGCCCACAGTTTATGTATTTAAATGGTTGACAACTATTGTTAGATTGCCTTCCAGGAAGATTTCATCAATTTATTTATTTTTTATTAAATCATAGCTGTGTACATTAATGCAATCATGGGGTACAATGTGCAGGTTTTATATACAATTTGAAATATCTTCATCAAACTGGTTAACAAAGCCTTCATGGCATTTTCTTAGTTATTGTGTTAAGACACTTATATTCTGCACTTAGTAAATTTCACATGTACCCTTGTAAGATGCACTGTAGGTGTGGTCCCACCAATTACCCTTCCACCACCCATCTTCCTCCCTTCCCTCCCTCATCAATTTATTTTAAGTGAATGTTCTATTCTCCAAATCTTTATATATTAATATCCTATATTTAATTCAATGGAACTAAAAATCTTTATTTATATCCTGTTGTAAAGCATTTCTAGTATAAAATTATTTTTTAACTGATACCATGAGAAAATTTTAATTTTAAGAGAATTTGGGGATTCTATATTACTGTGAAAGGGATGGGAGATCAAAAAATAGCACTAGAGAGAGACCACCTAGATCTAGGGAGAGTGGTAAAAACATTTTTTTTTCTTTTTAGAGACAAGGTCTTGCTCTGTCACCCAGACTGGAGTATAGTGGTGAAATCATACTTATAACCCACTGCAATCTTAAATTCCTGGACTTAAGTGATCCTGCCACCTTGGCCTCCTGAGTAGCTGAGACTACAGGCACATACCACAATATCTGGCTAATTTTTTATTTTTAGAAATGAGGTCTTGCTATATTGCTCAGGCTGGCCTTAAACTCCCGGCCTCAAGTGATCCTCTTATCTCAGCCTCCCAAAGTGCTTGGAATACACTGAGCCACCACACCTGTCTAGACCAGTATTTCTGGAGCTGGCAAGTGAATAAATCAGGAATCTGAATCCCTCCCCCCCTGCCCACACACCAAGTGTGCTAGTTCAGAGAAGGTATGAAAATGAGAGAGATATATAGTTGAGAACCTGAAACTCATGTAAGCAGCTATTTTTTTTTTTCTTTAAAGCAGTTAGTTAGATATATACAAGTCTTGATGGAGGAGATCTGGACAGTGTGGTTCAAAACACCATGTTTACTGTCTGTGTGTCGGGGGGTGGAGGGGAAGCAGTGAAGAGACACATTTGTGACTGTTGGCAAAGTTAAGATTGCATCTGAGTAGACCTGTTAACATGAAAGCATAACACTGTGACAAACAGAGGTCAGATAAAGAAAACCAAAGAGTTCTAATTTTTATTATTTTTTTTAGAGACAAGGTCTCACTCTGCAACTTATTTACTTATGAGAAAGAGTCTCTGTCATCTTGGTTAGAGTACTGTGCCATCATAGCTCACAGCAACCTCAAACTGTTGGGCTCAAAAGATTCTCTTACCTCAGCCTCCCAAGTAGCTGGGAATACAGGCATCCACGATAACGCTCAGCTAGTTTTTCTATGTTAAGTAGAGAGAAAGTCTCACTCTTGCTTAGGCTGGTCTTGAACTCCTGAGCTCAAGCAATCCACCTGCCTAGGCCTCCCAGAGTGCTTAGATTACAAGCGTGAGCCACCGCTCATCGCCCCAAAGAAGTAATTTGCTTCCTAGAAACGAAAGAGACCTACAGAGGCGATTAACCACGCGTTGCGAAGCCGGGAGGAAGCCATGGGGTGAACTGGCTGGCACCTGTTCCCGCGCGTGCGCCGCGGGGTGTATACCTCAAGAGCGCTCATCATTGGTTGCGACCTCAGCCAGGCTGAGTTCCGGAAGAGCCCCTTCCGGTGAGACCGGAAGCCCGTGGGGGGACGTTTAGGGGACGGAATGAACGGCCGACTGATCTCCGGGTCCGGAAGGTGTTCTCAGGCCGGACTGAGAATTCAGGCGCCCGTGGACTTATGTATGAGCTGAGTGAGTGGGGTCCCTTAGCCAGGATTGTCCGGGTGGCGTGTGTCGTTTGGTCCAAGGTGTCAGTGGTGCAAATGATGCGACTTCTTAAACCTTGCGTATTCTGTAGCCCTTCCAAGGTGGGCTTGGTCCCCGCGTTGGGCATTCCCGAAAGCATGTGCAGCGTCCTCCCTGAAGCGCCGGGCTCTCCCCGCGCGCCGCTGTGTGTGCGGGTCCCCGCGCTCCGGCCTCCCCAGGTTCCGCGGCTCTCAGGACTTAGGTTTGAGGCGAAGCCACCCCAGATCCATAATTTTTCTACAATGACTTATTTTTACCTTTCAGATAAATTCCAAAACGTCCAGATCTTACAAACCAGACGTTAACACTAATGCAACTACGAGATTTCCAATATCCTCCTTACCCCCGCCCCCCGATTTCTTGATAAGAATATCGTAGTGGCGAGACAATACTGAACTGGGAGCCAGGAAGCCTGGGTTCCAGCCTGATTGCTATCAACTAGCGGTATGACATTGGAGAATTCTTTATAACCCCTCTGGATTCCAGATATCATTTTTGTAAAATGAGAGGCTTGGAATAAGTAACAACTAAGGTTCCTTCCAGTTTTTGACATTTGGGTTATTGCCCCCAGTGTGTCTGAAGTTTTGTGTTTCTGCCTCAGTTACATATCTGTGCTTTGGTTAATCTGTTGGATCCTTTCTCCCACTCCGTTTGTCTGTGTCCTTGTCAAATCTTGTTTCAAATTCATTTAAAAATAATTTCCTAATGAATCTTGTGCTTCCTGAGCACTCTTAATTCCATAGTCCAGGGGCACACATCTAAGTAAGATTTTTTACACGAGATGTTCTTGAAGTGTTTAACGTGTGTAAATACTTGGTTACTATTGAATGAATGTTTTTTTTTTTTTTTAGACAGAGTTCACTCCGTTGCCCAGGCTAGATTGTTGTGGTGTCATCATAGCTCACAGCAACCTCAAACTCTGGGGCTCCAGTGATCCTCCTGTCTCAGCTTCCCGAGTAGCTGGGACTACAAGCGCCCATGACAGGGCACAGCTAATTTTTCTGTTTTTAGTGGAGGCTATGTCTCGGTCTTGCTCAGGCTGGTTTTCAACTCCTGAGCTCAAAGGATTTTTGGGCCTTGGCCTCCCAGAGTGCTAGGATTACAGGCGTGAGCCACTAGGCTTGGCCGATTTTTTTTTTTGAGACAGAGTCTCACTTTGTCACCCTTAGTAGAATGCTGTGGCGTCATAGCTCACCACAACCTTAACTCTTGGGCTCAAGTGATCCTCTTGCCTCAGCCTCCTGAGTAGCTGGGACTACAGGCACCACCACAACACCTGGCTGTTTTTAGACACAGAGTCTCACCCTTGCTCAGGCTGGTCTCCAACCTGTGAGCTCAGGCAGTCCACCTGCCTCAGCCTCCCAGAGTGCTAGGATTATAGGCATGAGCCACTGTGCCTGGCCATGAATTTTCTTTTTCATTTTTTTTTTAGACAGGATCTGGCTTTGTCACCGGGGCTGGAGTACAAGTGGCAGCAATCAGACCTCAATGCAGCTGCAAACTCCAGGGCTCAAGTGATGCTCCTGCCCCATCTGGACTACAGGTGCATGCCACAGTGCCTGGCTACTTATTTGTTGTAGAGAGGAGGGCTCCCTGTGTTGCCAGGTTGGTTTGGAATTCCTGGGCTCAAATGATGGCCCCCCCGCCTTGGCCTCTCAAAGTGCTAGGATTAGATGCATGACCCGTCCTTAGCTCACAGCATCCTAAAACTCTTGGTCTCAAGAATTACTCTTGTCCCAGTCTCCTGCATAGCTGGGACAACAGGTGCCTGCCCCAACAGTTTGC